CTTCTTAAAATTATCTATATGCTCGTTTAAATATACTCCTTATCTAGAAGGTGCATTTGAATGCAGTCCCCAGTTTACTATATGTGAAACCTGTAAACCGTTTTGTCTGATTTTTCCCTAGACAATAATTGTTAAAATAACAAGTTACTCCTCTCTAAAATAATTTCTTTTAAAGAAAGATTTCTCTATTTTGTGTTAGAGATTAATATCCTTTTTTTCCAGCATGCTATTAGGTAATTATATACATTTTCTTATAGTATGATTTTCTGTGCTTTTTAGGTGTATCAAAATATATCAACAATCTTGCAACAAAATATCTAAATAAAAAATGCGAAATTGTGTAGAAGGAAAACGTTTTTGGACATATCTATAGGATTGACAGGTTGGGACTCTACCAACAAAAGTACACCAATAACAAAATAACACCAAAGAAAGCTTCAAAATATAAAAAAAACATAAAAGTTTTACAGACTATAAAAACAAAACACTTTTAGCTATATACAACAGTATCTATATATAGAATAAACAGTTTTTCCTAACATTCATGTATCATATTACCACTGATATGTTTCGAGCGTAAATAATGTATATTATGAATATTTAAAAGACCATCAAATGATATAAAAAAAAATAGCAGTTCCATAACAAACTGGATAATCTTTTACTCAGTTTTGTTCTGTGTTGGAACAGATGCCAAAATTCTTAATATGGAGACAATTTATGGCTTTCAAGCAGAAATGCAGAAAGTCTAAATACCGATAATCAGGGAGATTAAACATTGCATTTCTTTGTATTAATGACATTTTCCATTTTCTCTTCCTCTTTGTTTTGCCATGATTTCAGTTCTACTAAAGTTTTATCAAGCATTTCCTCAATTTTAGAGATGGAGACGTTGGCGTTAGTTTTACTCTTTGGAGTGGTTTGCTTTGGATTTGAACCATTGTCCCCTGACAAGACTTGTCCGAATTTGATATTATCAGAGTTCTATGAGGGCCAATTCCTGAATAGGTGTAATGAAGGTCAGATCCCCCACTGTCTGATTGATGACAAAAATAGACATGGACGGGTGTGTATAAAGGCGGTAACCATCCCGGCAGGTAAAAAACAGCAATAGTCACGTATGCACATAAAAGTTACTCACAGATAACCATACACAAACATTTTTTACGTGTACAAGTAAACAACAGTAAAATCACAGGTAACCAACATTAAAATTACTTACAGTTAAAAAATGTAAAAGTCACTTATTCAGATAGCCAAAAGATAGAATTACTCATACTGGTAATGAAAAGAAAAAGTAACTAATATACACGTCGAGAAGCAATTTTTTTTAATATAGATTTGTCGAATAACATGTAGAAGTAAAAGTTTTTTTTCTGGCAACCCACAGTTAAATTCATTTGAATGAGTAAACAATAGGAAAATTTACTTATACATAATCGTTCATAATCAAAATCTACTTTTATTCGTAAAAAACCCCCAGCAAAATTCCAAGTAATCTACGATTAAAGTAACTTAATAGTATGGAGATCTTACTGATAGTGGATTCTTCAACTAGTACACATGTATATATATGTATTTTTTTTAACAAACAAAAATGCAGGTCTTTTGTTGACTTAAAGCAATATTAACTGAATTAAAAATGCATCTTCTGAGAGATTATTAATTTTTATAAAATCTCCTATTTTTAAAACTTAATGTTTGACGGCATCAGAGTTTAAAATTTTCTATAGTTAAACAAAAACAAAAACAATATATACCCTTTGTTTCTTTTTAATTCAATACTCAGGAGAATGTCCGTTCTACGATTCGGAGAGGAGCATGATAGATAAAAGGAGATGTATTGGAGAGGATTGTCCTAAGAAAGATATACCGTCCACTGCCGCCAGTATATGTAAGTGCACTGAAAAACAATAGCTTTTTAATAATTTTGTCTGAGCATATTTCGTGTCTAAACCTGATGTCCACTATATTCCAATAATGTTTCTCGTCAAAGAATAACAAAGGTAGAAGACATATATATGTAAAAAGTTAATTAGATAACAAAAAAATACTTGGCTCTGAAATGAATAACCTTTATATTACGTGATAAAAAATCGACTGTTTTTACAAGAATTCTTTATGGAAATATATTTATGCATATTTCTGCTTGAAGTCTGATCCAAGGCATTTTCTCTCCTTACTGATTACATTTGGCCCTTGGCTCTTGAAACAGACTAATACTTTAGTCGGAATTTCAATGACCTGTAAAATGCTTAATTATTATTGAATTAATCTCTAATTTTGCAGATAATTACACATTTAAAAAAAAATTTTGTGAAGCAATATTGAAAAATCTTTTTTTTTTTAAATCTGCTTAACTTCTACAATATTTTTGCAAATAAACATAAAGATTTTGATTAAAGCTTAGGATGATTCAAAAGTGCAAAAAAGAGACTGAAAGAAAAACTGCCATGAAAGAGTCTGGGTTAGTCTTCGGGGGCGAAGACCTTTCAGGAAGGGAAAGATGGTGATCAGACAGATCAATTAGCTCGGTATAGGAACCAAATACATGTGAATCAGTATGACGGTTTCAGAATCTGTATTGCATAGACTCCATTGCATTTCTCTCCTGACCAGTTATAATCATTATCAGTCAATAGCTATAATATTGCGTTTCAATTTTAATTAAATAAAATTTTAATAAAATTAGACCAAACATTTCAAGGGTTCTTAACAGTATGCGGTAGGACTTTAAGATTGAGTTATTTTAATTTGTAAAAATAGTTTGTTTTTTTTTAAATATCCAAATAATTTTTTTATTTATTTTTCCATCCACAGATGAAGGATGCTTTAAAAAATTCAGGTAATTGTCTTCACAACATTTTACACCAGAAACAATGTAATGATAATTCGTTAAATAACAGTAATCGAGACATGCGTTTTTTCACACAGATCTTGGACATAAATAGTACATATAACGTTAGAATATTACCATAGAATAAAATAATTAAGAACTTAAATCAATGTACAGATGTAACTTTTTTGAATTTGTGCACTATAATTCATTCAAAACAAGCATTTCTATATCTATATGTGCAAGTACAAAATCTTGTATTCGAGTTTAAGAATTATATTTTTGTACGCTTTATTTCCTAAATCTATATCTAACTATCAATAAAATAGATAAGGATAAAGACTCTGCCATCTAGTGGTTGTACTAATGCTTTTATCTTTTCAATTCGATATATGTTAATTGTTATGGGTCAGAATAACCCTAAATGCCAGCAAAGATCAATAACACAATTTAAACTTAACAATAATTTATTTACAGTAATATATAATAAGTATATGAAACATAAAGTACAAACTTAGCAAGAATCTAAAAATACATACATCAGAGTGTCCGTTGCTGCACACAATGTCCCAGTGAAAATATATATCCCAGTTATATCTCAATAGTGCTTATACGACAAAGTATAGTATCTCTATGCATCGAATTGACAGGGTATTTACACAGTAATATAAATCTAGAATATTCTAGAAATTGTTAAAACATGATATTACTGGAACAATCTGGACATTCACAAAATTTAAGAATGTTCTAGATAAAATGATCAAACATGTTGACCACTCTGGAATGTTGAAGAAACTTAATGTTACTAATTATATACATAATGAAACAATACACATCTCACAACACCTCCCCCCTTAAAAAGTTTGAATGTCAATGAAAAACTTAAATTGTAAAACATGTACATTAATACAAAATCTAGTATGTTTACGATACTCTTGACAAGGCGTCTGCAATAACATTGTCTTTGCCTTTGAAATGCTTAATTGTTATGTTGTATTCTTGTAACAACAAACTCCATCTAGTCAGTCTTTGATTCTTGTTTGACAATTTATGCAAAAATGTCAGGGGGTTGTGATCCGTATATTCAAAAATTGGATGCAAAGTAACATTCAGATAAACATCAAAATGCTGTAAGGCTAACAACAAAGCAAGGCATTCCTTTTCAATGGTGGAATACTTTTGTTGACATTTTGTAAGTTTCTTTGAAAAATAAGAAACAACTCTATCTACCTTATCACTATGTTCTTGAAACAAAGCTGCCCCGATTCCAACATCACTAGCATCAACAGTAAGCTTAAATTGCTTAGAAAAATCTGGAGTTGACAGAACTGGGTTGCTCATAAGGACAGATTTGATTTTATGAAAGGATTTTTCACAGTCCTTTGTCCATTCAAAGTTAACCCTCTTTTGTAAAAGATTTGTAAGTGGACTAACAACTGAGGAAAAATTTGGACAAAATTTTCTGTAAAACCCAGCCTTGCCTAAAAACCTCATTAATTCTTTCTTGTTTGTAGGAATCGGAAACTTTGCAATAGCTTCCACTTTAGCCATAATGGGTGTAACATAACCTTGACCTACTTTATGACCTAAATACTCTACATAAGCATGACAAAATTCGCTCTTCTCAAGATTCACAGTTAAGTTTGCTTTAGCTAAAATGTCAAATAAAGCACGCATGATTCGGAGATGTTCGTCCCATGTGTTGCTGTTTATGACGACATCATCAATGTAGGCCTCGCATCCCTCAAGGTCTTGAAGAAGGGAGTGAATCATCCTTTGGAATGTAGCCGGTGCGTTTTTCATGCCAAAAGGCATTACTTTATACTGGTAAAGTCCATCTGGTGTAGCAAAAGCAGATATTTCTTTTGCTCTTTCTGTTAACGGTACTTGCCAGTAGCCTTTCAACAGGTCAAATTTACTGACAAATTTCGCGTTTCCAATGTTGTCAATACAGTCATCGATTCTAGGTATTGGATATGAATCAGTTTTGGTAACAGAATTCACCTTTCTAAAGTCTGTACATAATCGGTACGAACCGTCCTGTTTTGGTACAAGAATACACGGTGAGCTCCAATCACTTTTACTAGGTTCAACAATGTCATTGTCCAACATGTACTGCACTTCCCTTCTTAGGTACTGCAATTTTATTGGATTAAGACGGTACGGATGTTGTTTAATAGGCAGAACGTCGCCAACTATGACATCATGACAAGCTGCATTAGTTTTCTTTGGAACATCCGAAAAGATTTGATGATACTCATTCATCAAGTTTTGAACTTCTTTTTGGTGAATGTTCAAATGTCCAAGTTTGGCATCAAAATCAGCCAAAATTTCTGAGTTTTTCAAGCGAACACTCCGATTACAATCTTTCTCATTCATTTCTACACTCATATCACTTTCAATACAATTTTGAACAGTCTTAGCATTGGCTAAAGTGGAAATTGGTTTTACAGAATTTCGGTCACACCTTTCAAAATACTCTTTTAACATGTTAATGTGACAAACCCGTTTCTCTTAACGTCGACCTGGTGTCTTAACTACATAGTTTACATCACTGATCTTGCTTTCAATTTCATAAGGGCCATAAAATCTGGCCTGTAAAGGATGAACAGGAATAGGTAAAAATACAAGAACCTTATCACCTGGTTTAAATACCCTATTTATGGCATCTTTGTCATACCACATTTTCATTTTCATCTGAGAACTCTTCAAATTTTCTTGTGCTAATTTACAAGCATTGTAAAGTTTTTCTTTGAAATCAGACACATAATCTAAAATATTAAGATCACTAGTCTCAGTCAGCCACTTTTCCTTCAACAATTTCAAAGGACCCCTAACCGTATGACCGAACAATTCAAAAGGACTGAACCCAAGAGACTCCTGGACTGCCTCTCGTGCAGCAAATAGTACAAGATGAACCCCTTCATCCCAGTCTTTCTCATACTGGTAACAATAGGTCTTCAGCATTGTTTTTAGGGTTTGATGAAAACGTTCTAGCGCCCCCTGGGACTCAGGATGATAAGCAGTTGATCTATACTGCCTAATACCCAATTCATGCATGACTTGCTGGAACAACCCAGACATAAAATTTGACCCTTGATCCGACTGAATTGCCTTAGGTGCTCCTACAAAACTGAAAAACTTGGTTAGGGCCTTAACTATGCTCTTTGCCTTTATATTCCTTAGAGGTATGGCTTCAGGAAATCGAGTGGATGTACACATAATGGTATGTAAATACTGGTTCCCATATCTAGTCCTAGGCAAAGGTCCTACACAATCCACCAACACTCGACTAAATGGTTCTTCAAAAGCTGGAATGGGTTGGAGAGGAGCAGATGGTATCTTCTGATTTGGTTTACCTACCATCTGACAGACATGGCATGACTTGCAAAACTTCGAAACATCCTTTCTTAGCTTAGGCCAATTAAAATGACTCAAAATCCTATTATAAGTCTTATTGATACCTAAATGACCAGCCATAGGTGTATCGTGAGCTAAACTCATGACATCTCGACGATAAGCAGCTGGGACCACTATCTGGTGAACGACACGCCACACTTCATCTGGAGAAGCGTCAGGTGGTCGCCATTTTCGCATAAGGATGCCATCTTTCATATAGAAGCATTCTCCAACTTTAGTAGCCTCTTCTGGTGGAAGTGCCCTCTTAGTAAGTTGAATGATATCTGGGTCTTTATGTTGTTCAGAGAGTAAACGTTCTCGGCTGAGGATGTCCTTGCCTTGGCTAACTAGTGGATGCAACTCATCATCCTCACCACCAAATTTTGGTAAAAGTTCTTTCTTCTCTTGCTTCTTGATATTGTATGGTTCCATGCTTGTTTGAGTGCCATCAAGGTCAGATAAGAAAGTGTCATTCAAATCAATATCAACAGAGGAATTCGTCTCGTCAAAGGCTTGAGTATGGTCTGCCTCCATTTCTCGTCTTCTGGCCATCGCTCTAGTAACAGCACAGACTGGATAAATGTCATCATCTTCATCATCGCATATGACACTGGAAGTGATTTTCTCACAAACTATAGGATCAGGTACAACCTTCCCACCAGCTAAATCGTTGCCTAACAACAAAGAAATGCCTGGAACGGGAAGAGTAGGTCGAACACCTACGATAACAGGTCCAGTAACTAAATCTGACTTCAAACTAATTCTATGCAGGGGAACATCAATGACGCCTAGCTCCACACCCTGTAATAAAACTGACCCACCAGTAGAAGTCTGCTCAGACAAAGGAAGCACGCCCTCTAACAATTACGTCTGTGCAGCACCAGTATCTCTCAAAATCTGGACAGGTCTTATTTCGCTAGAGTCACCGAGTGAAACAAATCCCTGAGACATAAAGGGCTTATAATCCTCCATAGAATCAATAGAACTGGACTGTGAACCCTGGACATCAGGAGTGTCAGAACAAATCGAAACTAAGGCTTCTCTATCACCTCTAACTGCCGCACAAGCGTGTGGTTGAGTTTTATCAAAATCACTTTTTCTCTTAAGTTTAAAGCATTCACTGATCAGATGACCTTTTTTCTTACAATAACTACAAGTAGGAAGTGACCCTATTCCAGAAGATCCTTCAACACGTCCTGGACCGGACTTAAAACCACCTTGTGATGGAGACTGGAGACTTGTGGAAGACTGAGACCCTGAACCACTCTTTTTATATGTGTCTGAATTGGTAGAATTACTGCTAGTCTGAGATCTTGATACAAAATTCTTTTTATGAGACAGAGCATAAGTATCAGATATGACTGCTGCCTTTTCAAGAGTTTTCACATTCTTATCTTCTAAATGTGTTTTCAAATCTTGAGAAACACATTCCTTAAACTCTTCTACCAGGATGACTTGGTGCAAATTAGCAAAAGTTTTATCAAGTTTCTTAGATCTAAACCAGTGATCGAATAAATCTTCTTTCTCTCGTGAAAATTCAACAAATGTTTGATTATCAAACTTCCTATACTTTCTGAATTTTTGTCTATATGCTTCAGGTACTAATTCATATGC